AGAGAGAATATTTCCCAGCCCCGCACCTCCTAAGCACCTCACCAGCGGGCCGGGGCCCTGAACTCGCAGATGCACGTGTGCTTTCCTAAGGCATCTTGCAGCCTGTTTTCCAAATCCAATTAGCACAGCCTCATGTCATGGACGTTAACGCGCCAGCAGGACGTTGAGCACTGTCCAAGGTCTCTCCAGAGTGGTGTGGTAGGGCAGGAGACCTGGCAGGACCCTAAACCCTCCGTACCACCGCATGGCAAAATCCCGCTGATGGTCTTTTCTGAAGGGAATGGGGGAAGAGCAGAGACTTTCCAGGCCAAGAGCTGCAAGTCGGGCGCCGGGTCATGCGCTCCAGGAACCACATCCCATCTAGAACCTCTGCTGCATTTATATGTATGACGCTGCAGACATGGGGCTTAACAGATGACGGTCTGTGGGCCAAATCGTGCCTGTATCCGCTAAGGACAGACTCTGTACTTTTTAAGGGTTGCAAAAATAAAACAAAGACCCATGTGGCAGGGGCCAAAGGTGGCCCACAAGGCCTGATGTCTTGACTGTCTGGCCGTTTACAAAGAAAGCCTCTGGCCTTGCCGTGGTCATTGTCCACGACTTTAGCCCTGGCCGGGGAGGCCGAGTCAACAGGTACCTGCCACTGCCATCCCCCGGGTCTTCCAAGTCCTTGAGGGTGGCGCTGATTTTCGGCAGTTCCCTTGTGGACTGTGATGCTGGTTTTGGTTCGGTCTTGGTGAGGGACTTCTGCCATATTATCCCTCACCCCAAGGACAGAGGCCATGTAGCTACGAGGTGTATCTACTCCTGCTTCACGGGCTGGGCCGGGGGAGGCCCCCCCCGGGACCCAGACTGAGACAGACTCGGGCCAAGCCTCCATCTCGCACCTGAAACCCACAGGCTCCCTCTTTGGTGGCCCACATAGGGGTTTGGGTCTCAGGATTAGCGTCAGTTCAGAGCAAATATTTGATGACCATCGGAACGTCTACATACTTTCTTCTCTCCGGTACACAGTCCCCCTGGGTGTTTTAGTTTCCCAGGACTGCCGTAGTAAGTACCACACCCTGAACTTACAACCGACACTTACTCGTGCCCCGTCTGGAGGCGAGAGGTCCGAAATCAAGGTGTCATTGCGGTTAGTCCCTGCTGAGAGCAAATCTGTCCGGGGCCCCCTCCCGGCTCCTGGGGCCGCGGGAGCTTCGTGGGCAGGAGAGCTGCCCCTCCCACAGAGGACCGGGGGTCGCCTGTCCTGCTGGAGAAGGTCCAGGGCTGGTTCAGGGTTCAAAGTTCCCAGCATCACGTTCCTGCCCAGAGCGTCCCAGCTGCGTGTCTCGTGGCTCACGGCTACCAGGATCTTGGTGTGAGGGAGCTGCAGTGGCCGATGATTAGCTGTGGCTGCCCGGCCAGCAGAGGGCCGTCCGCCCCGGCAGCCCCAGCCTGCCCTGCGGCTCTGGGAGCTGGGCCGCCCATTCTCAGGGGCCCGCCTTTGTACCCCCGTCCCATCCCCCGTCCTCTCCTTTTCCATTCCGTGCAGGGCTGACCCCAAATATTGATCACATGACCTCACTCCATGTCACCTCCCTGTCAAGCTGAGACTCTGTGACACTGCCTCCTGCCATGGCCACCAAAGCCCAATTCCCGACCAGCAGACACGCTGGAGGGGCCCACGTCAGGGGCTCATTCCCACAGTGCGTGAGGTCACGGGGTCACCACGGTAGCAATTTCTGTGTCACTCAGAGGCCTGGCGGGAAGCAGGCCTGTTCCCTCAACCTGGGTGACTCCAGGAGGGTGAAATGGAGAGACTGTTGGCCTCTCAGTGGGGGCAGCGCACCCTTCAGCCTGGAGGAGCGCCGAGAGGGGTCTGCACGGGGGCCCGGACAAGACCGTCGTGTGCAGAAGGCCGGACACAGGGATGCGGCCACGTAAGGTGACCCCATAGGGAGGGACCCGGGAGATAAAACCCCAAGCTCACCTCCTCCTGAGTACAGCTCATAGCAGCCAGAAGCTAGAGAACGGGAGGCGGTGGACAGGGCCCAGAGAGGGTGGCGAAGGCAGACGGGGGAAACGAGCCCTGCTTCGTACCCTCACCCCTATACTGAGGAGCGTGGTGCTGGGGCGGGAGACCCGTCAGGCCGAGCCAGAGCCGCGGTGTGACCCTGGGGAGAGGGGCCCCCAACAAGGGGTCCCGCCGTGGCTGGGGGGCCCGAGCGGCGAGCATCGCATTAGATCGGGGCATCTTGGGGTCAGGCGCTTCATTTTCCAGAATCTTGCACCACACGACTTGACTCATTAGCGGGTTAGCCCTCAGCCCAGCGCATTTTCTGCTCCACTAGACTGCCATTTAAAACAAACCAACCGGGGTGCCTGGTGGCTCCGTCGGTTAAGCACTGGACTAAGGGTGCTTAGCAGTCCCCACGGCGCAGGAGGTCACTGCAAACACACACGGAACGACAGGACAGACACCTGTGGATCCGAGTCTCCCTCCCTAATAGATGCTGACCTCCCCACCACACTTCCTTCAGAATTCCTTCTGTGAAATAGAACATGATGCCCACGTTGGTGGCCCTTGGTGCCCTCCCTGATCCATGTCGTTGTCCCCGCTTCCCAGACGCGCCCATTCCACGCAGGTCAGCAGCCTCCCCCGTGTCACTGGGCAACCTTAGCTCCTGGGGTGCAACTCTCATAGCTCCAGCGGGCTCCACGCACCGGAAACCTGCAGCAAACCCGACATCGGGCTGCTAGCGCCCTTCCCATGCTTCCCCGTCAGCTTCGCTGCCAGTAGTCACTCGTTTCCATTCATTCATTCATTCATTTCCATGTTCTGCAGGGTCGTGATGCACACATACACTCTTTCCCCTTTCCCTTCTCCATACACACTTATGAACATTCACACTGCTTCCCCCCTTCCTTCCCTCCCTCCTTCCTTCCTTTCTTCCCTCCTTCCTTCCTTCTTTCCTTCCTCCTTACTTTCCCTCCTTATTTTCTTCCTCTTTTTTTCAGCTTCTCCATTCCTTCTTTTCTTCCTTTTTTTTTTTTTATTAAAGGTATTACAAGCAATGCTGCAAAGATCATACTTGTCTCTGTTTCCCTCTGCTTAAGTGTGGGGATTTATGTGGGACACACACCAGACCTAGAGCCAGTGGAATTGCTGGATTGTAAGTCTATGTAGCATCAACTCCATTGACAGTCACACACTTTTCTTCCAAATTGTTGTGCAATTTGCATTTCCGTGTCTGAGAGCTCCCCTTCCGCGCTGAGAAATTAGGGGTGGTTTTCCATGATCATGAGCATCACTGCAGATCCGGCACACCCCCACACACCGTTTCTGGCAAACTGAACCCACCTCCACGGAGGACTCTGTGCCCTAACCCCACCCCCCGCCCCCGGGTCCTGCACATCGAGCCTCTTCTGGAGACCCCACTGGGCAGCCCGGCGGGGGGTGCTGGGCTCAGGGTGGAGGGCACAAAGAATGTGGCACCCCCAGTTCTGACTGGAGCTCCCCTCCCAGAGGGGCTGCCAGGACTGATTCACCAGGTCACTTAGAAAAGTAAGCACCTCTCCAAGGCGAATTCTCCTCAGAGCCTCATTGTTCACTGAGGAAAGAATATTTCTCCCGTTGCTCATTCATTCATTCGTTGATTCATTCATTCCTCAACAGATGTTTATTGAATAAGGTAAGAACGATTATAGGTGCAGGGCCACCAGAAGGCACAGAGCAGACGAAGCCCCCTGCGCTCACCGACCTTCCACTCTCCTGGGGGACAGGCATGCTCCACGTGCTGTGGCAGCAGGCCACTCCATGCACTGGGGACAGCAAGGGCTCAGAGATCGGAACTGGACCTGGTGGGGCCAGGGGAGGGCTGGCCCGAGGTTACCCTTGAAGCGTAAGGCCGAGGGGGCCTTACTGTGGGGCCTGAAGCAGGGAGAGGCAGGGGGGAGCACCTCTGCTCGGTCAGTTCAACGGTTGCTCTTACATATACAGCTTCATTTTTGAAAGGGCTGTGCTGTAGAGGGAAAGAGAAAACCAGAAAAATTAATTTAGGTAAATAAGTTGAAATACACACTTCCTCTAGGTAGGATGTTGGACACTCTCATGTTTTCTTTTTTTTCCCTTTTTTTTGGGGGGGGGATGGGGAGGAGCAGAGGGAGAGAGAATCTCAAGCAGACTCCCAGCTGAGTGCAGAGCCCAAAGCGGAACTTGATTCCACGACCCCGAGATCACAACCCGAGCCAGAACCAAGAGTCAGATGCATAACTGACGGAGCCACCCAGGCGCCCCATTCTTGAGTTTTCAATGTCAGCGCCAACTGGAGGGAGAACCCCTCCGGATGAGCCACGTTTCTCCCGTGAGGCACATTTGCTGACCTACGACGTGGCCATGGGAATGCCCAACAGACGGAACTCCCGGAAAAGATGAAGTTTGCAGTCTGAGGGCCCAGGGACCAAGGGGGAGAGGGGGTGCGAGCCTGTTCCTTTCCTGACCCTCTTGTGCGGCCACGGCCCTCCCCCAGACCTGGGTTCTCCAAATAGTCGAAGGCCACTGGCCCGCCGCCCTTGACAGGACAGCCTGGTGGGCGGGCCCCATCGGCTCCGAGTCGGACCGCCATGGAGGGCGACCCCATGAGCCACTGTTGACACAACCGTGCCTTCTGGGGCCAGCTCTCCCATGAGTCACCCTTCCATGAGTGTAATGTTGACATCTGCAGGAGGACCTCCGCTGCGGTTAACGATCTGGTCAGGCCCAAGGGACAGGAGGGGCTTTCTGAACCTCGAGTCCTTCATTCAGGATGATTACGTGCCTCGGCACTTGCCCCTATCAGCAAACTCATTTTAATCAGTGGAGATTACCTGGAATGGAGGACTGGGGGATCCCTCCTTAGGCAAATGTTACCTAACACTCTTGAGGCAAACAGAGCCTGCGCATAAAATGCAGGGCCTGCACAGGGTCCCGTCCCTGACTTGTGGTCTCCCCTGGAGCAGAGAGGAAGGTCACGGCCGCCATGGAGCCCAGGGTGATCTGCGTCTTGGTGTTGGCGTGTGTGCTGACCCTCAGCTCCCTGGCCCAGGGCGAGCTCGGTAAGCGGCCCCCCTCCCGCATCAGCCCCCCTGGTGGTGCCTGAACCACAGACCATGTGTTTGAGCTGAGCGCCATGCTGGGCCCTGGGAGGATTTGGGAGGGTGAAGGCCCGTGGAGAGCAGCATCCAGGCCACGGCCACGGAAGCTCTGAGCACCGCTGTGAGCATGTGGGCGCCCTGATCACTGCTCGCTGTGTCCGGCACTGACGCCCTGAGCACCAGATCTCAAGGGGCGGTCTCGGAGGTGTGGTGGGAGAACAGCTCCCCAGACGTCCAAGCCGGCCTCCCTCTGGTCAAAGCCACCCAGATGCCCAAGGGCCCATTCCGTGGATGAGCGTCCCCCGAGGACGCCCGCAGTCTCTGCGGTCCCGGTGTGTGGGTTCCGTGGGTGCCACAAGCGACAGAGTGCCCTGCTCCCTTGAGCCACCATCTCAGCCCCTGGACCGGGACGTCGGCCTCAAGGGGCTTGGGGGTGGGACAAGGCCTTCAGAGAGCGCTTTGCGAGCTACCCTGTGCTCAGTAAGTATTATTTATTTTCATTAGATGCTGTTGTAGTTTCCCAGGTTTTCCAAACCAGGATTTCCATAGAGGTTTGAGGAGGGGGAGAGGAACCGTGGTTTCCGTGCATCTTGGGGTACCTTTCGAGGACCCGATGGAGAACGATGAAGAAAGGGGTGTAGGGAGAGGGACGACGGAGGCACCAGGTGGCCACTTGGAATGCCCCCAAGGCAGGGACAGGCTAAGGCCGGAAAGGACACGCGGGCTTTGGGCCTGGAGAAGACGCGGCTCTGCCGTGGAGGATGCTGGGAGTGTGGCCACGCGGCCGCCCCCAGGCCAGGCTGTGGATCCCTCTCCCCGGCCGACCCTGCTTGGCCCTCTGGCCCGAGGCTCACCCCTTCTCTGTGCATTAGCAATCTGTCACAAGGCATCCAGAAACTTGATTGCAAGCACAGCCCGGTAGAGACCGTTCCCGTCTAGGTCCGTCCTGTGCCGGTAAATGGGTGGACAGAGCTCGGAAACCTGGAACCCCGTCCCACCCCAGCTGCCGCTTCCTCCTCCGGCAGGTGGACAGGACACAGAGCCGTGTCTGAGCATGCACGAGCACACACACACACATGCACACACACACACATGCACACACATGCACACACGCACGCACAGCTCCTCCCAACTTCACAACTGCCCTGCGGGTGGGCGACGCCACCTTCCCTCTCTGGTGGGGAGCCAGACGCGGGGAGGCTGAAGTCCTGCAGAGGCCCCCCAGCCGGTGGGTGGGAGATGGGCCAGGCCTTTCCCACGAAGCCACAGACCCCTCCTTCAGAGAAAGCTTGAGGCGATCCGTGGACGGGAACGCAGAAGCCCGTGGAGGGCAGCTCCCGCGTGGGCTCGCCTTCTCAATGCCTGGCTGGGTTAACGGGGTTCAGCCCCTTCAGTTCCCGTGTGTAGACCACACGGCAGCCCTGCCTCCCCAGCGTGTCTCCCCCCAACCCGCGTGTTCTCCACCGTCCTGGCTCCCATCGTCCCCCACCCCCCAACCCCGGGTTAAAGCTGCTGAGAGGTTGAAGGCATCCACCCACCCCAGCCTCTGTCTTTCCTACAAACGGACTACACCTCCTAAAATACACCTTGCTCTTTCTCGACTGCCTTTGAACACCTGCTCCCTCTGCAGGGTACACCCATCGTGTCCTTCAGCCCCACCTGGTAACCTCCTCCCATAGGAAGCCCTCCTCGCTTTGTTCTCTGCCTTGTCCTTGTCCCTCCTGTGCTTGCCTTCAGTGCAATGGGGTGGCCTCATGGTGGCCTCCATTCACTTGCTCTTCTCCTCCATTAGACTGTTAGCTTCTTAACCAAGACTTCTCTATTTTTAATTTCTGGGTGCATCCCCTGGCACAGGGCCCAACATGAGCTCGGTCCTTGAGCGACCTTCACTGTCTACTTTTGCGGTGCTAATTTCTGTTTCTAGCATACACAAATGGTGTTCCACAGATATTTACTGATTGAGTAAAGCTAAAGGATTGTTTGTTGAAGTGAACGAATGCATGGATAAATTACGTAGGTAGGTGTAAAGTTTGCAAATCCTGGGCACCTTGCATTTGCCCTGAGCTGAAGGGTTTTCCAACCAGGAGATGAGGCTGGGATGTCCCTCTTGTAGCCTGAGCCCTAAGTCCCCATCCGTGGCACCGGCTGGCTGCTGGTTCAACTGGAGAGGGAAGATGGACGTCAGCCAGCGACTTACCCTCCCCCTTGCCCCCCTGCACCTCCAGAGACGTGTGTGGTGGCCCCCCACCACAGAACAAACTGTGGCGTTCCGGGTATCACGCCTTCCCAGTGTAAAGCCAAAGGCTGCTGTTTCGACAACACTGTTCGTGGAGTCCCGTGGTGCTTCCACCCTGTGGCCGTGGACAACATTACTGACGGTATGGCCAGGGAGGCTCTGTGGGGTCTGAAGGTGTAGGATTAGGGAGAAAACCTCATGGGAGCGCGGGGCCCTAGTCTGCACGGCCAGCTGTGTTTGTACCCGCACCAGGGGCCGCGGGCGAGCGTGGGGAGGTGGTCCAGCCTGCATCAGGCTGATGTCGGGCTGGGGACACAAAGACCAGGCTGGGAGGCTGCTTGGCAAGGAGCCCTATTTGTCCCTGTGTTTCTTCACATCACTGAGTGCAAGCCCGTGAAGGATCCTGGTAGCGCTTTATCCCTGCTTGGGTGGGATTGGAGAGAGCAGCTGAAATAGGAAGGCGGGGAGTGTTTTCTAAGGACTTTTCCCCTTGGTGCTTCCAAGTGGCATCTCTGTAGTTATTCACAAGTGAACAAACCGTGGGGTTTTCACTGCCTGTGTCTCCTTCTCACACCTCACCCTTCAGAGGAATGCTCCTTCTAGACGCGCCAGGAGCTGCAGTGGCCTCAGCCGGCAGCCAGGAGCCCAGCCACGTCACCGGCAGGCACTCGGGGCCCTCCGCATCTGCGCCTCGGCTCCTGGACAGACGGCACACACCCCTGGACTCAAAAATGGCTTAACGATTAAAGGAGATAAATGTTACTCGTGCTTTCAGTTCTTTTTAAAAATTGCAAATGATTGTCCTCTCTTGCAGAGGGAGGTACACCATTTCCACATGCGGCCTCTCGTCCTACGTGGGCTCACCCCACCTCGGGAAGGCGCGGGCTCAGAGGAGGGAATGAGGTGTGTGTGCCAGCACTTGGTGTCAGCGCACAAGGCTGTTAGATTGTGGCGGGCAGCTCGAGCGTCCTGGGGAGTACAGCTGCTCTGGCCCCCAGCGCCAGGCAGATGGGCTCTCCCCGCTGACAGGGAGCGCCAGGCCTGTTTTCTGGGGACCTGCTACTCATTCCCCACCTTATTTCTTACCTGACTTCCAGGCTATAAAAAGCGGGGGCCACTCTTTCAGCTGGAGGAGTCTCTAGGACTTCGTTCGGACTCATGAGGCAGCAGGGCATCTACTTGGAGGCTCTGGGGAATGACTTTTCCTCCTTGGAAGAAGAGCTCCCTCTTGCTGCCCTGGCCAGCCCCTGCGGCCTGCCTTTGGATGTGTGGTGTGAGAGTGCGATGCGGTGCTTCGAGCAGCCGTTCTGTGCTAATGAGGAAAAGCCATAGAACTAGAGCCCTGACATCCCTGAGCTATGATTTGACTCACCCACCCTGAGACTTCATGTTGAGTCAACCCAAATGTTCTGATGGGTTAGAGCACTGTTGGCTGGGGTTCCCCTTCCTTGATAGCACATTACCAGGGCCCAGCTACCACGGGTGGGGGCACACTCTCACCCAACGTGAAACCGCTTAGGCTGAGTCCTCCAGGCCGGGCCCTTGAGCTGTTAAAGGAATGCGGGCAATTCATTTGTTCCCGCCTCTGCACCTGGCAACTTCTCCCTAAGCCATCTGTGCGGCTCAGGCTCTCGGCTGGAAACCTCGGGCTCAGCATCAGAAGCGAGCAGCAACAGAGGGAGGTGTGGGGGGAGTCAAAAGGCATGTCTTTGTTCTCGAAACCAGCTCCCTTCCGAATGATCCTTCATCCTTATCTTCATCCCCTGTCTCCCCTCCGTAACTGACGAGAACGGGGCCGAGAATGTTTACCAGCTCGCCTGTGTGAACGGACCCACAGCCCGACCGGCCCGGCCACCCTCATGGATCACAGGCTTACTGATAATTTCAAGGATGCAATGAGAGGAAGCTCGGGGGGGGCGGCTAGAGCAACCCCCATCTTGTTCCTTCCTGTGCACAGGTGCCCTAACGCACTGAATAGATGAGGTCTCTAGTGGGGCTGACACAGTGGGGAGTTTGATCATGAGATGTCTCCCTTTACCACCCCCACCCCAGAGCTGTGTGGTGTTGGTGACACTTTCCATGACGTGCAGACCGGGGGCTCTGTGACTTGAAGTGCTCCTGTGGCTGGGGGTGCCCAGCAGGGACGGGCCTTTCTCCTGGCGAATGCATCATGTCGGGGGGCCCCAGCCAGGTGACAAGGTGACTGACTAGGTGGGTCTCCAGCGAGGGAGGGCTGGCTAGTGGCTTCAGCTCCCCCTCCCAGCATGTGACACGGAGAGAAATCCGGGTCCGCCATCCACCATGGGCCGTCCAGGATGTGTGGGTGCATGATCTTGGCTCCACCATCTGGACCGCAGACCTAGAGAGAGCCTGGGGATTCTTGCCGGGATGGCCCTGCCTCAGGCTGGTGGGGACCCACGTCCTTCTGTCCCTGCCGGGGAGGTGGGACACAGGGAGTGGTCTAGGCCACTCGGTCCTTGTGGAAAATTGCAACCTCCCCAAGCATCCGCTAGTAGGCTGCAGCCGAGGGGAGGGAGAGAAAACAGTTGGGCGGCCAGTGCGGGGGGGCCTGACAGAGAGTCAATGGGTGACGCACCCCAAGAGCTCCAGGACCCGAGGGCCTCAAGGAATGCTCAGGGCAGGTCTCCGGCATGTGTCCCTCCATCCCTTGGTCCCTCCATCCCTTGGTAGCCCCAGCTCCCTGAAGCTTTGCTGAGTGGGCTGTGGAGCCCAAGGGGTGAAGGCTGAGGCTGCATGAGCAGGTGCAGAGGCTGGAGCTGGGGGCAGGGGGCACTGGGGACGTGTGACTTCCTCCTTGGGTTCAAAGAGAGAATGGATGGTGCTGGCAGGACAGAGAGGCCCAACGACAATGTGAGGGGCTGTGCCCTCAGGGCTGGGAACTCGGAGAAGTCATCACAGCCTGTGGGGTGGACCCCTGGACACCTTCCTGGCCCCCCCAGGGCCCCTTCCAGACCACCACCCTCCAGGCCCCCTCTGGGCCCCTCCCGGCCCCCTTCCAGGCCCCTCCTGGCCCCCT